CAGGCCCCGCACTGGGGCCGCGATGCTTAGTTTTTCCGTCGGGATCAGCTCTCAGACAACCGAGGCAAATAGGTCGAACACTCGACCCAAAACGACGCACATCGTCAGGCGAAGCGATGTGTTGATCGCAGTACTCGTCCTTGCATATGAGACACCTCACAAGTCCGTGTCTCCCCCCTCTTCCTCTGCATGCGCGGCATCTAGGAAACTGATCGCTGCACTTGAAACACGAGTTACAGTCATGGTCAAAGCAGTCTTCGCAGACTGACTTGCCGCAGCTTCGGCATGGATAGCGAGGTTCCCGATGCTGTGGATGCCCGAGCTCCTCATGAGCACACCTGGCCCGGTTATCAGGGGCAGCGCCGGCAGCCCGAGCAATGGCCCTCGTTCTAGAGGGATCCCTGCCGAAGATGGGGGCTGATGGTGATGGTGGGGGTGGCCCCGAAGGAGGTGGAGGTGGAGGAGGCCTCGCCGAGCTGACGGTGCGAGCATCACGAGGAGGAGAACCTCTAGGAGCCCTTCCCTGGGTTAAGGGAGCAGTGTCTCCAGATTTCTCCCATGATCCCGTTCCGGCGGTCGAACCAGCGCCAGCACTTGAGGATCCGCAGGCAGCAAGAGGTTGCTCCCTCAACTCAGCGATCTGCATGTTGATCTCATTGACCCTCAGCACAAGCTTCATAAACTGCTCTTGCATGTCCCTCGGATTGGGGCCTAAGCTTTTGTCATGAAGGTCCTTGACGCACCTAGCAATGCGGGACAATTGAAGCTTGAATTCTTCCTGTTTCTGTGAGTTCTCATTGAGGGCTCCGGATACCCTATCACTGAACTGCTTCAGGTCGGTCGCAGGAACGAGATGCTGGATATACGTCTCGACGTTCCCACGGATGGTTCTTTCTCTTGAGATGGTTCCCTCAATGTCGATGACACTGCGAGAGTTCGCCTCAACTTCGTCTTTGATTTTCCGAACCTCAGCCTCAAGGGCCCCGATCTCAGAAAACCTAAGAAGCTGGACCTTGACGTTCTCAAGTGATTCGGCCTGCTCGCGAAGTTCAGCAGCGGATACGACGATCGAGTCAGATCTCTCATCATACATCTTGAAACGCTCATTCATCTCCTTCTCGCTTCGGGCGACCCATTCGTGGAAATCACGGAACTTAGCCTCGTGTTTTGAGAGAGTTCCGGCAACGGCAGAGAAAGATGATTCAACCTTCTTCTCGAAGGCGTCAACACGGTTATTGATCTTCTTGATCTCACCGACGCAAGCGTTGATATCATCCCTACATGAACGAATCTCAGCTCTGCATCCCTGGATTTCGGCCTTGCACCCCTTGACCTCGTTGTGGATCGCGAGAAGCAGTCGTTGAAGCTCAGATGCAACAGGATGGCCGCCACTTGTGGAAGCAGACGGAGCAGGACGACTATCAGCGTCATGATCTCCGCGACTATTCTCTTCCCTGTCGGGAGTGCAGCCCGGAGTTCCGATTTGAAAGAATGCGGGGACAACGGAGTCGTTGACCGGTTGATTCGAAGGAAGCCCTCCATATCCAGGGGCAACAGTGCTAAGTCCAGGTCTCCGGTTCCTAGGCGTAGAGTTAATCCCGTCATCAGTCTCCTTCTCAGACATCGGGGCATTGGAGCTGAGCCCAGACCCCGCAGAGTGTATAGGAACGTCAATAGGATCGTGATGAGCTGGGGGATTAGATCGCAGTCGTAGAGCAGCTTCACGTCTCTCGGGTGACTCAGAGCTCCTCTTTGTGGCTCGTGAGTCAGTGCCGGTTTGTCCCGACACATTATCAAATGATGATGATCCGCGAAGTTGAGCTTGATCTGGATTAGGTTGAGTGAGATCAAGCCGTTGAGCAACGTCACCATTGAGTGGCTTAGGGGAAAGTACTTTGGCAACGCGGCTCGGCGGGAGCGATGTAGTTCGTCTCTCTGGTGTGACCTCGGCCTCATCGATTACATCAAGGATCCCAGGAATGGTTTCATCATCTTCATTTCCTCTCCTGGGTGGCTGATGGAAGGGGATGTCGAGGAGGTCAAATGGAGTAGAGCCAATACCAGGTGTATCCTGCTCGGATCCATCGCTGGTACGGTGGCTGGACTGCTCCTCGAGGTCGATGACGTCGGGGGCGGACTCTTTTCGAGTCTGACGCCGATTGAACGCCGCGAAGAGACCGGCATGGCTTCTTGACGAAGAGGAGGAAGGATTTGGGCCTGCTGTTTCGCGGCCCGCATCCGATCGACTAGTACCTGATGTCCGATTTGGCGGATTTGAGCCCGCGTTGTAGCGGTTCGCATCCCGACCTCGGGTACCTGAGGAAAGCGGTGGATTCGGACCAGCGTTGTAGCGGTCCGCATTCCGGTCGCGGGTACCTGACAGGTGAGATGATACTGCATCAGGGATGAAGTCCATATCCGCCGGACTGGGGTGATCGTGAATGATGTCAATGTCGGATGAACCTGAGACGGGAGGAGGGCCAGCTATTTGCGGCCAATCCTCAATCGCCCGTTTGCCCACCTCGGGTTGGGCCGAACCTGCAACATGAGAAGGGGAGAAATCTTCAATGGGGTCATTTTCTCCATCATGAGGAAAACCCTGAGTAGGCTCATGCGTAGGCAGGGCATCAAAAGATCTGTCAATTCGGGAAGGCTGAGACCTCCAATCAGCATCAAAAAGGGATTGAAAATCCAGATTCCCAACCGAAACGGGGGCACCCGAGTTAAAGCCGAGCCGACCGAAATCAGGCGGTGTAGCCTGCGATCCACTGCCGAGGAGTTGGTCAAACTGGTCCCATGTAAGGGACCATGATTGAGCCGGCTCCGGATGAGCAGCATGATGGGCAGCCCGGTCCTCGATCTGGAGCGCCACGAACGGAACAGTAGGCGAAATCGATGAGGGCATCTGATTTGGAGGAACCTCAGCCTCTTCTAGAGGGGGTCCGTCCTCGATCTGGAGCACTGCCGCCGGGATAGGGGCCTCCGCATCCTCATCAAACACAACCTGAGAAAGGATCCAATCGTCCGTGATCACCCCGGGATTGGGCTCTGCGCCCACCATCGGGGGAATGGGCCACAGCCGGCTGTCTAAGCCGGGGGCAGCAGGCGCGGCGTTGCCGCGAAGGGCGTTGGCCTCGTCGTCCACGAAGCCCGGCCCACGATGAGAAGCTCCGGGGGACGCCATTGCTCGTACAAGTAGGCGATGGGAGCAGGTAGCGGGTCACGTCCCGCAACCGGATCACCAGCCCCAGCTTCTAGCTGGTACGGCTGATAACCTGCGGTTTTGGGCGAACACGAAGTAGCCCAGGGAATCAAAGAGGTACACGTGGTTCACGAAGTACCAAAAGAACCCAGTCCCAATGCACAATGTAGAAGGTGCCGGTGACCAGATTGTGGGAGTGACAGTTAATGAAGATCAAGTTTGGGGAGGTTGGGAAATAGGTTGAAGAAGGGAAGTTTGTGTCCAAGCCCAGGACGATCACGCAGAGATCCTCCGCCCACCTCCCAGTGCCTAACCACGGCGACGTCAGGAGCCTTTTCCCGACGGCGAAGCAGTCAGCCGCACTATGGCTGGCGCAAAAAGAATCCGTGACCCCCCTGACGGGAGGGCAAAACTTGAGCCAAACGGCCATTCGGCCGTTTTGCCACATGATGAAACAACACGTCAACAAAACACACTATCTATAAAGGATGCGGGATTCTCAATTCATGAGCGGACTGACCAAAAAAGACCCCAAAACAAAATGCTTATCTCTAGAATGAGACTCCAAAAGAACTCAGGGAGTGGCCTTTTTGCGCTCAATGGCTTCTTGGAGTTCCCCCCGGGATTGCTCAAAAAAAGCATGAGTCAAAACGGGATCTTCTGCTACCCACATGGATGAGCCACTCCCACCTTGAAAGGCCGCAAACCCACCAAAACCAGAGCTCACCCCTCCAGTGCACGCACCAAAAGTGCATGCGCACACGGAAATAATCTGCCAATTCTAGAATTCCAAACCTGACAACCAAGAGTTAGATCCAGTTTCAAGTAAAGGACCTTCATGGGCGTTCGCTCGTCCCAATTAGTTGGTCGCCCTTACAAACAACCTTCCAGAGGCCTTGAACTGCCCTGTGGAAGCAGGGGGTTGTAATATAAGGGCCTACAGGATTTCGCAAACCTTAAACCTTGGCCTGCTGGTTTCATATTTAGTCCCCTCCAAGTATATATATATATATATATATTAGATGGCACTATTCCCGATAGATGTCCGTAAGTCAAGGAGATGATAAAACCAAAATAGAGAGGTTGCGCTATCTACTTTCACCCAACAGTATTACACTATCCTCATGGCTAAAATTAGTCATAGAAAGCCCCAAATCCGCGTGATTGTTCAGCCCCGATGACTCTGCCTATTCTATCGGCTTCGAGACCCTGGTTGGGTTGTAAGGATCCAATAGTGATCCTGGGGCTTGATTCCCCCCCAATATGTTCAGTTATCTTTTTGTCAAACACCCTTTCTCAATGGTTTGTTGGAAGAAATGATGCCTGGAAAGAAGGGGGAAGTTAGCCTATTCTGGCCGTGAGCCTGTTTGTGCTGGCCTTACACACCGGATGCGGCAAACTCTGCAGATTGTTTCCAGTCTTATCTTGGAGATTCAGTGGGTTGACTCAAAAAAGGGGAATCCCCACAAATGATTGGCTTCCCTTTAGTTTCCATTTAAAGCCAACTAACAGGGGACCCCCATAGCAATAAGAAGAAGAAAAAAGATTGTAATAGTAGAGGCCCAGATCTGTGATCCCGACCACTTTCATGCGGGTCCTTCCGGCACAAGAAAAAACGGGGGGCGAAGGAACCCATGCCAAACGTAGGCTGGGAAGGGGCCCTTCAGCGCAAAGCTGCACACAAGCAACACGATTACAAAGACTTGTATAGATCCTACCGTAACCTGTATGAACAAGGTAGTAGAACCACTTGCTAAAATGGCCAAGGGGAATCGTTCTTGGGCGCAAGCCAAGAGACTCTCCACGTCAGTTCCTGGGCGGCAAAAACACACGGACGCGCACGGCGGCAAGAATTTGCTTTCGCGCTTCGGACGCCTGTGCGGGTCCTTCCTCACAAGTTCCACGGTAAGATTCCTACTCAGACTGGCATGGGAAGCCGAAGGGTTCCTGAATACGACAAACGACCAAGCCTTTCTGCCAGTTGGCCTCAGTCTGCCTTAATCAGGCTTATCAACCCCTAACCCCTCGGGGCGTCTTGTTCCCGAAAACAACAAAGTATCAGCCCAGAAAGACAACTCAATCAAAAGTGGATTCTGAAATCCCCCTAAGCTTGAAGCCTAACTTGGATCAA